GTGACCTTAACTCACAGCCACGGGTGCAAGCTATTCTTTGGTTAGTTAGCACTAAGTGATTGTTTTAGCAGTTGCGTTTCTTATGTGAAGATATATATATGTATCTTCTCCCTGAAACAGTCACTTAAGCTCTGATTAATAAATCCCACTACCTATTATCAGTCTCAAGACAGTCTTTGCCAGCCAACTGTTTTGCCATACTTGTTGATGTTTTACTTGGAAATCAGCCCCTCCCCAGACTTCCCCTAGGCCTGCTTTCCAACAGTTGTGCAGGTAGTCTATTCACTCTTATTTTTTTAACTTATTTTTTAAGCAAAGTCAACTCAAGAATAGAAATGCCTTTGCCAGGCTCATGGCTTACAACCATAGAATGGGCTAGATGCCCACTGAGCACTGCTCTACAGACCTTTCGTTTGATGTAGACCTTGAAACCAGATTTAAGTAATTTGCTATTCTCCAGGGCAGAAATGGCTGGACACATAGTACCGTAACTGAGAGCTAAGGGAAAAAGTCATCCATCTCGATCATTCATGAAGATCACCAGTACCTGGTGCCGTTGACTTGATTCCAACTCATGGCGACCTCATGTGTTTCAAAGTAGAACTGCACTACACAGAGTTTTCAACAGCTTTGATCTTTCAGAAGTAGATCACCAGGCCTTTTTTCAGAGGCATCTCTGGGTGTATTTGAACAGCCAACCTTTCAGCCAGTAGCCAAACACTTAACTGTCCACCCAAGGACTACATATTATGATTAACCCACTGCCTTGGAGTCGATTCCGACTCAAAGCAACCCAACAGCACAGAGTAGAACTGCCTTATAGGGTTTCCTATGCTGTAACCTTTACAGAAACAGACTGCCACATCTTTCTCCCACGGAGCAGCTGGTGGGTTCAAACCACAGATTCAGTTAGCAGCCGAGTGCTTAACCACTGCACCACCAGGGCTTCTTTATTATGATGATTAGATACTACTTTTTATTATGAGACTTGCATGGCCCCTTGGGAAAGTCTCTTGCCTATGTACTTCTTTATTCACTACTCAGCGCGGTATCTCATGAGCCTACCTTGGACTTGTAAAGTGTTTGGAAATGTTTATATGGAAATGTTGACTGGGCTATAGGAATCTGAATTATTATGGTAAATTCTAAGCATGAGTGAAGATTATAACTCCCAAAACCCTAGATTATTCCTCATATGAGTAAATGTGAAAACGTTTTACTTAATTAAATATAAAATATTTATGAATCAATGCTGTGTTAATATTAGGTAAATATTAATAAATATGGGAGATATAAAAATGTATAGGACAGCCCTGCTGTCAGTGAGCTTATAATCTACATAAGAAGAAAAGAGAAAAACACGGTTAAAAACTAGCAATGTAAGAGGCGTGAAAAGGCAACATATCGCTCATTGCCAACTGAATGGCAACTGGCAGAATAAGTCCAAGAAGGAGAGACCATGTCCAGCAGTAGGGGGCAGGGAAGAATACAAAAGAAACAAGATTTCAGCCAGGTCTTGAAAACTGAATCCAGTGAGACAGGAGGAGGAGATTCTTGGTGGAAGGAATCAGTGAGACAAAGCTCAGAGGCAAGAAAGCAAAAAGAGTACAGAAGTGCAGGTTAAGGTGACATGGACGGTTCTAATGAGAGATAGCTCTGGAAAGGCCATTTGGAACTGGACGGTAGAGGACACTGAATGTCAAGTTGAGTTCAGGTTTCTAAAGAGAAAGGCATCTTGGTCAAAGCACTGTTTTAGAAATATTAATTTGGCGGTGGTATGCCGGAGCAAACTGTCGGAAATGACTAGAGGCAAGGAGATCAAACAGAGCTCATGGCAAGCTCAGGTGTGGGGTGATGGACGTGAGACGGGAATGGGAGAGGTGTGGGTGGAAAATACTGCAAGAGAAGCACACTTCCTCTCAAGTGTGCTTATTAGTATTATTGCTGGAGCTCTGTTATTTTCTAAAGTATTGTCAAGTGTGTGGGTTCAGAACTGATTGACTTTAACAATTGCAGGTGGAGAACGAGGAGATGGAGGAGTTATTCGTTTTGAATTTACAACCCCCAAAACATGTAAAACCTGTATAAGTTGATATGTTGACCCTTTTCCTCTTGATCTTGCATTCTCATCTAAACACAAAAAGTGTTAGCCAAAAAATGTCTCAATAAGTCATGAAATGTAGGAATTAAAAGAGATATGGGGACATTTTCTTTTAAGAAGAAAGCTAACTCAAGTTGAACATGGACTATTTCAAACTTTTGAGTCAGTACAACTGAAGAAAAGCCCCAAGAATACCTGGCACCCCTTTATGCTTACAGCCCTATTTGGGAACTCTGTTAGAATAACCTTCTGGTTTTGAATGTTTAGGATTTAATGTATTTTTTTTATACAGATATTCAGAGAAACTTGATGTAAGAATCTCTGAAGGAGAAAAAAAAATTTCAGGCGAGTGTTTTCAATGATTCAAATCTCATGCCTGCTACCTGGAGGATTTCTGTATGTAATTACAGTCTCCAGGCTTCCACACTGTACCTCTACAACGAAGTTCTGGCTTTATCGCTCACAGAAATGCATTTCCTTCACCCTTCGGGGTACTTACGGTTGACACACTCTATTCTGGCAACACCACTTGACAGAAAGATGGTGCCCGATAGAAAGCCTTTCCCCCACGTTCCCCACCCCACCCCACAGCCAGGCACTCAGAATCTCTTTTACGGGCAGCATCAATTTCAACTCTTTCTAAACCCTTGGTTATTTTGAGACTATCCCTTGAAGGCCTGAAAGAGAGGTAACTAGGGTGCATTCCCAATCCTCTACTCTTTCTAGATCCTCTAGTTTCCTTGCTCCTCCTCCTGAACCTCCTCAAATCGGTGGAAGTAGGCCGATAAGTCCTAGAGCAGGGGTGAATAAACAAATCGCTCCCTGGTCATAACACTCTGAATATCAAGTTTGGACCTAAAGCATATTTATATACTTGGATTTAAGTAAGAGAAGGTAATTAAAATTACTTGACTTTATAAACTTTAATAGGCATTGCTTTTTGCCCTTGAGTTGAGTAGCTATAGAAGTCAGTCTCTCTCTACAAGGTAAGAATGTAAGTTTGGTTCAGATGTTGATGTTCCTTCCAGATGCTGATTTGTTTTTATTCCAATGCTATATATAATGTGTGAGCATTATATAACATTTTCATGCACCCTTACATAAAAAATTAAAAGTGGTTTACTTCTCAAAGAGTCAGTGAAAGATTCTTATTTTTCAGTCCTGAGCTGAGGACATTACCATGGTCTAATTAGAGAAGGGGGTTTGCTGTCCCTCTGATGTTGATGGCAATCCTGTCAGTCCCCCCATATAATCCACCCACAACAGGGCGGATTTCACTGATTTAAAACCGATTCACTAGCCAACTCAAAAACCACTGACATATCTTTAAATGCTTTTGGATTTTAAATCTCGAGTACATATGCATTTTCTTTTCTCATCCTTCCAAAACTAATCCCAGAGTTTTGAGAATCTGGGAACTTGGGCAAAGGAGAAAACAACCCTGCAGACCAAGAAACCTGAAATCTTAGTTTATTCCTTCAGCCCAAACTGCTAGTACCTTTTTGTTTGTATTGACCCAGCTCAAATCATAAAACCATGTGAGTAATAAAACACAAAACACAGGTGTTATTCCTGAATGTGAAAAGTCTGAAATGTAATTAAATGTGCCCTTTCTTCGTGGCGGTGTCATTTACTTCGTAGGTTAATATTTGTGTTTCCTAAAACCTCTCTCTTTTTATTACCAACACACACTGTTACACCATACTCACACATTCATTAGCTGGGACTGAGGAGTGTGTGTTTTTCCAACCGGTCCTCAGCGTAAGCTGTTGGATGCACAAACCTCCGCCTCCTTTCTGCATCTACTGCACTGGAACAACAGGAGCTCCTTGCAAGAATAGCGCCCCGAGAGCGTTGCTGACAGATGCGCGGTTTGCTCCTGCAACGCGCTCAGCTGGGAAGTTTCCTCTAACCACTAAACACCCGTCTCCGACGCCCCGAGCTGGCAGGACGCAGGCTGGCTGGGTCCCCTTTTGACGAAGGAAGGGTTTTACACACACCCTGCTAGGGTTGCCCGATCGAGAAACAATCTCGCTGCCAAACTCCTCCAACCCCAGCGGACAGACTGTCTAAGGTGCTGTGGCGCTTCAAGAACACCGAGATCCCCTCCCAGCTAAAGGGAGCACGCGCTCTGCTCTGCTCTGCTCTGCAGGAGACCGGGGCACTGGAGGCAGAGGGGAGGCCAAGGGACCAGGGGGCGCAGGAGGGTTGGGGGAGGGGTTGGAGACAGCAAGGTGTGGAAGAGGGAGCCGGGAGCTGCAGGCTATAGGGGCTTAGGAGGGAGCCGAGTGCAGGAGCGAGTGGGGGGCCGCAGGAGGGGCGGGGACGCAGGAAAGAGCCGGGCGCAGTACCCGGCGCTGGGAGAATGGGCGTAGGACGCGGCGCGCGCGCACGAACAGGCGGGCGCCGGGGAGGTGCTGTCTCGGAGCTCTGCCCCCGGCTCCCCCAAGCCACTTAATTGCGGGTGAGAAGGAGGTCTGGGGAGTTGGGGTGGGCGGGGGGAACCAGATAGGGGCGTGCCTTGGCCCCGATTGGCTGCAGGAGCCTGACGCGAGGCCCAGGAGGTTGGCTTGAAGGGGGTGGGAGTGGGGTGGAGGGGGGTACTGGGTGCCGGAGCTGCGGGCCTGGCGCGCTCAGAAACATGCTGAGGTCCCGGCAGCTGTTCCAGCAGCGGCAGCGGCTCCAGCAGCAGCGGGGGCGGCGGCGACGACAGCGACAGCGCTCGGCTCTGGCTCCGGCGGGGAAGGCGCCCGGCGCCGATGCCTCGGGCCCCGCACCGCGACTGCCCTGACCCGGCTGCGATCTCCTTCGGAGCGCCCCGCCGCCCCGGCTTCTGGGGTGTTCCCGAACCACGGCCCAGCCCCGCCACACACCCCGCCCCCGACCTCCGCACCTCGGCATGGGCGCGGGGGCGCTCGCCCTGGGCGCCTCCGAGCCCTGCAACCTGTCGTCGGCCGCGCAGCTCCCCGACGGCGCGGCCACAGCGGCGCGTCTGCTGGTGCCCGCGTCGCCGTCCCCTTCGCTGCTGCCCCCCGTGGGCGACGGCCCCGCGCCGCTGTCGCAGCAGTGGACGGCTGGCATAGGCCTGCTGATGGCGCTCATCGTGCTGCTCATCGTGGCGGGCAACGTGCTGGTGATCGTGGCCATCGCCAAGACGCCGCGGCTGCAGACGCTCACCAACCTCTTCATCATGTCCCTGGCCAGCGCCGACCTGGTCATGGGGCTGCTGGTGGTGCCGTTCGGAGCCACCATTGTGGTGTGGGGCCGCTGGGAGTATGGCTCCTTCTTCTGCGAGCTCTGGACCTCGGTGGACGTGCTATGTGTGACGGCCAGCATCGAGACCCTGTGTGTCATCGCCCTGGACCGCTACCTCGCCATAACGTCGCCCTTCCGCTACGAGAGCCTGCTAACCCGCGCGCGGGCGCGGGCCCTCGTCTGCACCGTGTGGGCCATCTCGGCCCTGGTGTCCTTCCTGCCCATCCTCATGCACTGGTGGCGGGCCGATGGCGACGAGGCGCGGCGCTGCTACAACGACCCCAAGTGCTGTGACTTCGTCACCAACCGGGCCTACGCCATCGCCTCGTCTGTCGTCTCCTTCTACGTGCCTCTGTGCATCATGGCCTTCGTGTACCTGCGGGTGTTCCGCGAGGCCCAGAAGCAGGTGAAGAAGATCGACAGCTGCGAGCGCCGCTTCCTCGGCGACCCCGCGCGTCAGCCCTCGCCCGCGCCCTCGCCAACTCCTCCGCGCGCCGCCGCGCCAGTGGCCAACGGGCGCGCTAACAAGCGGCGGCCCTCGCGCCTCGTGGCCCTAGGCGAGCAGAAGGCGCTCAAGACGCTGGGCATCATCATGGGCGTATTCACGCTCTGCTGGCTGCCCTTCTTCCTGGCCAACGTGGTGAAGGCCTTCCACCGCGACCTGGTGCCCGACCGCCTCTTCGTCTTCTTCAACTGGCTGGGCTACGCCAATTCGGCCTTCAACCCCATCATCTACTGCCGCAGCCCCGACTTCCGCAAGGCCTTCCAGCGCCTGCTTTGCGACGCGCGCCGGAACGCCCAGAGGCTCCACGCGGCCGCCGGCGACCCGCCGCGCGCCTCAGCCTGCCTGGCTGTGGCCAGGCGGCCGCCAGCGACCGGGGCGGACGACGACGACGACGACGACGACGTCGGGGCCGCACCGCCCGCGCGCCTGCTGGAGCCCTGGGCCGGCTGCAACGGCGGGGCGGTGGCGGACAGCGACTCGAGCCTGGACGAGCAGAACCGCCCGGGCTCCGCCTCGGAATCCAAGGTGTAGGGCCGCGCGCGGGGCGCGACGCCGGCGCCCCGCCACCTTGCCCGCCCGGGACGCGAAGTGTGCGCCCCAGGGAGGAGCAGAGTCCGGACGCCCTGGAATGGCTTCCCAGGGGAAAGAGGCGAGCTTGTTTACTCAAGACCTAAAGCAGGTGAACGCGAAGCCTACAGTCCTGGTCTAAATCAGCCAAGACAAACAGAAAAGCCACGCACGGTTGCACAAAAAGGAAAGTTTGGGGAGGGGTAGGAGAGTGGCTTTCGGGCTTTCCCTGGGTTCTTTTCTGTTTGTGGTATGGCCTTCTTTTGTGTGTGCGGGTAATGCATCTTTCTATTTTTTTCCCCCCTCTGGGTGGTTTTTTTTGACACTTTCTACAAGGACCCGAGTGAAAATTGGGTGGATAGGGGGAGGGAGAAGCATTAGGGTATAAAAAAGTCTATCATTGACGTCCACCCCATTCCAGGGGAACAGGAGCATTCAGCGGGGGGGAGGGGGGTGCAATTTGTCGGGACATGTTGCCTTTTGCTTTCCAGACAATTTTCATTTTAACTTGAGTGATGATTCCTCCTGTTCTTAAAGCAAAGCGGAAGGATGGATGCAGAAATCATGTTTCAAGTAATTTTAAGCTATTCTTAGAACAAGCTTCACCTTGCTTAGCTTTTGTAGGGCGGACTGGCTGCCCCCCCCACCCCACCCCCACCCTCCCGCGCGCCCCGGTGGTCAGGCCAAGGGAGTTCTACCTCACACTGTGCATACTGCACAGCAAGTTAGACTTGTTTATATTAAACAGTTTATTTATGTGTCAATATTAGTTTGAAAGACCAGGCACTGAGCCTTTGCGACATGTGACTCTGTCTATTGAGGACGGGACAAAAAAAAAGAAAAAAAAGGAAAGAGTTCCAGTATCAAAACAGATAACTGCACATTTGGGTAAAAACAAAGCAAAAAAGGGAGTGGTTCAAAATGCCGTTTTTGCACAGTGTTAGAAATTTTGAAGTCCATAGACGTTACTTGCACAAAAAGAAATTAAATATTTTTATGGGGGTGGGGGTGTCTTAAAAACTAAAATAAAATTCAAACTCTACTTCTGTTGTCTGTTATGTTGCTGAGCTAGTGAATTATTGGGAAAATACCTTTTTATACTCTTATCATGGTACTGTAACTGTATCCATATTATAATTATTTTAAGGAATTTTTTTTTTTTATTATTTTTAATGTCCAAGTGCACCCGTGAACCTGCTGGTAAAATTTAGCACTTGTGTGTAAATTCTGTTTCTTTTTGCGTGTTTTACCAAGTATTTATACTCTGGTGCAACTAACTACTGTGTGAGGAATTGGTTCATGTGCAATAAATACCAATGAAGCACCATCAAGGTCATGTACGTGTGTCTGTAAGGGGTCAGTGATAACGGAAAAGACTCTTTTGCTCAGGATACAGACTGGATTTCCCATGTAGCCCTTTTAATAGTTTTCATGACTCAAAAATGCTTATAGACCAAAAAAGCAAAATACCTCTAGACCAAAAAAAGGCAAGCACCTACTAAGAGCTGCAGACTTGCCCTACATTTTCACAGCTGCATTCAAGGTATTCTAGGCTACTTGTAGGTGCTGTCAAGATCCCATCTGCTGCATTTGACTTCAGAAATGATGTGAAAACCGTATGGAGCACAGCTCTACTCTGACACACATGGGTCGCCATGAGTCAGAGTCGACTTGATGGTAACTTTTTTTTTTTTTTTTTAATCTTCTAAATAAAGCAATCGGGCCCAGTAACTCGGCTGCAACGTTGAGCAGAAATGTAGGGAGGAAGACTAGTGCATTGAACAGTAAGTTGCCTACTTGGAACAAGGTAAGTGGCTTCCATGGCCCATTTCTGTTTTCCAGTGGAAAATCACTTCAGTGTTCAGTGTGTGCATATCTCTCCCGTGGCTGTTTAGAATGAAAAATGTTTTCATGGCTAAGTAAAAAATTTATAGAGTGTCTTCTTAAGTAAATACTTTTTCTCTTGTGTAATTAGATCATTTCAGCAGAAGTTCTGGGTGGGCAGGTCACGGGTAAAAAAGCCAACGGTGAAATCATTTCACTTCGTAACAAAATTACCACACCCCATGGATAGGATTTTTTTTTTTTTTTCATAAAATTAGTTCCTAAGGAAAGCATAGTGAAATTCTACCCTGAAATTGGATGTGTTCTCCAAAATAACTTTAAGTATTTCCCTTTGTACTTGTAAACTCAGCTTTTCATATCATGATTGTACGGTAACGAAACCAAAGTCTAGGACGTAAGGTTTCGGCTCTTGTCAAGCTGTAACACTGAGCAGACTGTTTTCTACTCAGGGAAGTCAAGACTGATTACCCTTTTTTGCAATGGGATATTTTAAAGAGTTAGAAGGAGGCTTCTGAGAAAGGTTAATAATATAGATGTTTTAGAGACTAGCAGAAACCTTCAACAAAGTCTAACCCCTTTCTCCAATTGAAAAAGGAAAAGGAAGACCAAGATGGCAAAAATACAAAGCTAAGTACTTCAGAAAAGTTATTCTAGAGAATGTAAAATCAATCTCAGGATGGAATCTCACTATACCTTCTCTAGGAACTAAATATAAGTCCACTGCTCTCTCCTGCCACCACCACCAGGTAAGACACACTGTTAGACATTTTGTCCTTTATTTGAGTTTTACTGGATATTAGCAGACGTTTGCTGTGTCGTCTGGTATGCCAGAGTACCAGATTAATGCCTCACTTTTCTCATTTCCTGATTATTTATTTATTTTGTCTAGATAATTCTTCACATTTAAATAAAAAGAAAATTTCCCTAGCCTGAAATGTAGATATGGGCCTCTCTAACCTGAGGTGTTAAAATCTTGAAAGTTCTCTGAACTTTAAGAACACGTATGTGTCATTTAATTATTCAGTAGATAGGTTTAGATTCTTTAAGGAATATTTTCAGAGGAAACCACTATAATCTTGGGACCAGTTTATATGTGTTTGTAGGAAACAGAAAAAAGAGGTTTCTCCGTGTTCCCTTGAACTCTTCAGTTGAGGATTACAAGGATTCAGAAACAGACCTTGTTAGTGATTCCGAATACCCTTAAAAACTACTTTTTGTTGTTTCTGAAGACAGACATTGGTTGATAATAGGAATTTAGGGAGCGGGGCTGCCAATCCCAATACTTTATGCCAGTGGGAGGAGGAAACTGTCAATCCTGTTTAAACTGGTGAGATTCTGCACAGCAGAACCAAGGGACAGGAGCAGGGCAATGAATATGCAAAACGTCACCCTTACTGCTGATGGGATGGTGTAGAGCAAAGTACCAAAGGCAAAAACCTGGACGTCAGAACAATGAAGTTTAATGATCAAGATCCATTGATGTGCTACTTTGGAAATTAACATATAGGCAGAGCGCTGTCAAGTTGTCTAATGTATAACCATCAAGATTTTCCAGGGTGTAGAAATTCTCCCACCAATGTCGAAATGTATCATTGGTGTAGCATCTAGCTTTGTCTCTTGGGAAACTTGTCTATATAAAACTTTGCAAATAGAGTTTATTTTTTGGTCCTCACTTTCTTCGGAGCTGGAATTATTAATAACTTCTAAGTGGCTATGGTGAAACCTTTCCTTGTTAAGCACATTGTCCCAGCTTATTTTAATTTCACATTTTGTTAAATGGGCTGACTTCCTCTGGGTACGACGCAGAAGTGCCAAGCGGAAATTCTACATCCAAAGTATCAGGGTGATGTTAACATTTAAGTTTTTAACAAGAGTTCTTCTAAGCAAGGGTCTAAATAAAAATTATTCTATAAGTTTTATTGCCAGTGGTGAAAAGCACTTTTTTTTGTTTTTTTTTTTTAAAATAAAGGTGGGGCCATTCTTTTTTTTTTTTTTTTAAGCAAAAAGGAAAAAAACCTTAGCAAGTTAATTCCAATTAACCACACTGGCACAGGTAATGTAGTTTTATTTGTACGTTTCTGGCATAATGTGCTGAGAAATAACTAATTCTTTTGACTCGCTGCCAGTTTTCTACTAATCAGAATGGAGAAGATATGCACTGTTTGGATTGTACCTAAAAATAGTTGTGCTACAATCACATCAGCAAATAGAATTAAATTAATTTCTCTTTCTTCCCCTTCACACACATTCTCCACATTATTTAAATTTCCATCTAGAATAAAGCTTCTGAATCTCATAATGTTTGGTTCAATATGTCCCAAATTGCAGTGTACTCCACTGCAGTGGTTTTTAAAGCAAACTCTACTCAACTACTTTGTGAGGACTACACCTCCCCTAAAATTCCCATTCTTAACCCTGCTTTCATTTAAAGGGTCTCTACTAAATAGCCCTTATAATATAATCAATGAGATATTAATATTATAAAGAGATGATGCTTTATGGATTAATTTTTCTCATCAATAGTTGTGCCCTTTCAGGGGAGGAGAGAGAGAATTTTTAAATTAATCAGCTTCGGTCATTTGATGGAGCAGTTAATAGACCTCCAAATGCAAGTGCTGTAATGAAGTGGAGTGGGGCAGGAACAGCAGCCCCAAGTAGAAAGAAGCTCACACTGTGCTGAGGACTTCAGAGAGTGATCTTTGTAGTAATGGTATCTTGGCACCCAAGAAAGCTCTGAAAGTAACTGCCTAAACTCTTTAAACCTTTGTTTTCACTTGAATGTGGACAAAGATCACTCTGAACATGTCCCCACCTTCTGTCCCTGAACCCAGTTTTGTTCTTGGATCCACCATAATCGCTAGCCCTTCTCTTCAGCACTCTGTCTGTTCTTTTTGAATGAGCTAGAAACATCTGGAACATCTAGTTCTAGATACATTCTCTTCACAGCAACATTAATTGCCCGTGAATAGTTTCTAAAACTCTGATTTTCAGCATCTCTCAACGCTTAACAATTCCTTTTTCCCTCTCTCCACGTTCCCCTGCTCATAGCTGTTAATTAGTATTAGCAAGATCACACTGTTTTCTTCCTGTTTATGACACAAAACTTACTCTGATGCGTT